GAATACCCTGGCTATATGCAAGCAGGACAACAACGATTGCACATAGAAATAACACTTACACTTCGTTTCCCCTGCAGTAACTACTTTTTAATTTTCGCCCTTACTATCCACGACCAAAGAGAACCCTCTTTCGTGAACAATTCGTACAATCCTACGTGACTTCCAGTTACTTAATAAAATATTTCGCGCAAATGATGTTACTTGTATAAACAACGGTTTAAAAGACTGCATGCCACTGTTTGTCGGATACCCCCTCATGGATTCTCTAGCAAGACGAATTCCATGCGTCACTTCGAGTGACTTTACTCGTTCTGGCACTTTCTTAAATACATCCACTACTGAATATCGAGGAGAAAAGCCTGTCTTGAGGTGCCCATTTCCGTGACCACTCGGTTGGTATTTAGGTTTCCTAAAGTCAACCTAGTCCTCACAGCATACCCTACCCACTGCTCTCTCCCACTGTTCGGCGTAAATAAACACCTGCTTCTGAGCTAAGACTTTCTACGGCTGCTAGGAATCCACGAAACGATATCTCACTATCACAGTACCCCATGTTACGCATCCATTGAAAGATGCGCTACTTTTCGAACGTTGGCATACCAGATAGCTAGTTACATTTCTTCTTCATATCCTTAGCGAGATGAAAACAACAAAATATCACATAAGATGACGGAAAGTATTCTGAAAATGCGTTGTAATGATCCAAGCTACGATCAACTAATATAGTCTTGCATTGTGCAAAGACTGGGCATATAGATTTTATGACTCCCACAGCCGATCTATAGCCCTCACCACTCTCATTCGACAAGATAACGTAGAAGAAACTTCTAACTAAAACGGTGTCATCTACAAGCATAGCATACCAAAGCACGTACCCACCACAATTCAGCTGTGTGGCGTCCGCTACCAAAACATCATAAAACCTGGCGACGCAGTGCAGCATAATCTCAGGAACAAAATAAACGTGACGAAGGATGCCTTTTTTCAGCCCTTTCTTAACCTCTCCCTGATTCCTTAGCATTTCCCTAACTTTCACCGCATCGCCAAATAAATCTGAATGAGACCTTCTTCGACGTATGGATCTTATATCTGCCGTAGTTAAGGGTCTCTGGAACCTGTGTGGCGAAATCCCTTAGCTCGCGAGTACTTCTAAAATTGTCCATCAAAGTACACGCTTCCTCTTCCTGTTCTCCGGATAGACGACGACTACTTATATACAGACCCCGCTGACCCACATGGAAGTCAGGGTTGTGCACCAGATAACGTTTCATCACTCGGTACTCCCTCGCGACCGCACGAATTCCAACGAATGCCGGACAATCGATATTTTACAGCCTGAAATGGTTTAAATACATTAAAAATGAGAGGCATAATTACCTGGTTGCAGTTGCGTCGCGCCTTCTGTGATGCACACAGCAATATTTGATGAAATAATATAGAGAACCCTCAGGCAGGGTCAGTTTCCGACCAAATTCTCTCTCTCGCATCAGCTGTTTGGCTGTCATTGACGCATAAACGTAGAAAGAAGTGCAATTACCTCTTTGGAATACACGGAAGTTCTCCAAGAATCCGTCCAACGATCCCTAGCAATTTTTTTACCATCCGTTGAAGAACAACCGTATTGTCAAAATGAGCCATGGTTTATATGGGCGTGGAAGTGATCGTCGCCATTAAGTTACGCTATTTATACTTTCTGGACAAAGTCAATTGAAGTTAATAAAAACAAATTAAATTTTACCAAATCACTCCGAATCAGCCAAAAGCAAAAGCTGTTCCATTTTGGCTGAATTCGACATCGCTTTTTATAAAATACATTTGAAAATCGATCGCTTTTAGAAATCCAAATAGTTGGGATGCCATGCCACTACCCTATTTGCAGTCTCAGCTCGAGGTGTTGTTGTGCTGTTGAAATCGGATTTTCACGGTTTGCCTATTCTATCTGCTGTTTATCTAATCTGAACTCATGCCCCAATTCAGAAACCTGCAATCTAAGTATATCAACATCTTTAATATCTGAATCTACACATGAAACAGCACTGACAGGACTAACAGACCTAACATTTTCTAAAGAATCAAAATGACTCACAGTCCCCCCCCAGTGACTTGCCGGATTATTTCCAGTTGGGTTCCAGTTTCCTTGGTTCCTCGTCTGGGGATCTCGAAGATACTTTTCTCGTGTGATTCCAATTTGAGAACTGTACGTCAACCGATTCGCACTTGAGTGACGTGTAGCTGTAACCGATACGAATCCCGAAGTAAAACACGATTGATCCGTAATGTTCTACGATTCTGAATAAGAGAAATCATTACAAAATGTACAATAAAGCAAACCTCAAATATGCGGCCAAAAGCACTCAAGCAAGCCAGCCAAGTATGATGTCCGGAGAGAGCCAGTCGTTCACGTTTGCTGATCAGGCCAAATTCAAATGTGCCGGGTATCGAATTAACAGATAAATAATAATGTATGGTGTTTGTGATTGAGAAATGTCAATAGAGAAGCAACACAAATAGAGATATGCCACCTGGAATTATCATCGGTTTTGAAGGATTTTCAAAAAGTCAACATGATATACATCTGTCGCCTGACTTGATTTAGTCGTTCAAACAGCTCAAAGATTTGTCAATTGCAGATAGATACTTGTTCACACCAAGTCTCAGTCCAACCCTCAGAGGGCATATACTGAAGCTGATGAAACCACGGGCCAACGGAAGTGCGATTGCACAATTTTTCCCCCACCGCATTGTCAACTCATGGATCATGCTTCCATCTACAATAGTAGTAGCAAAAGGTGTTTTGCAATTCAAACGGAGACGCGGTACGTTCAAAATTTAACCTCGTTATCGGGCTATGTAATTCTTGAAGTTTATACTCATTCGGCTCTAATTATTTTTCAAATGGGATTCGTCGTATATGTTGCAAATGAAGCGTGAGCTAAAATGCTTGGAAGCACTGGACGGCTGTTGTGATCTGGTTGGCTCTCATCAGCAGTGAGAATTGATCGACCCGACTGGGGATGGAACCCGGGACTTCATGGGCAGAACGCAAGCGTTCTACGCACTCCGCCACCGGGCAGCTAATCAGACCGATTTTCATTTTCCATTTACAGGATATGGCAACAACCAATGTTTGAAAGTTTGTTGCGGGCCACGGACCCTGCGCAACTCAGCACTTGCCTCCGGGGTTATGACTCGGTTGGAAACATTCATAACCTGACTGATTATTTTATGTGGCTAATGGAGGATTTGGTTAAATTTCACATTATTTTGTTTCGACCCGTTAAAAAAATATATTAATCCGTCCAATCTTTCTATGGCTAATAAAACCTCTCTCGCATCCTCCCACGAGAACACCCTCCGCATGAGATAAGATGAACCTGCGATAAAAATGAATACAACGCTTTCGCAAACCGAAATGTTAGGTATCATACAGGAACAGGCCTTGGAACTAGAGAAGCTGAAGGCTGAATTAAATGCTCGGCGGCGATCGAGCAATAAAAGTCTCCTAGTAGCAAGTATTTGATACAGAAAGAATGTTATAAGCAGACGCAATTGCTTCGAAAAGTGTTGTTTTCTGTGGACATTTCCCGAGCCACTTAACCCCTCTGGAAATGACGAAGTTAATCTTTAAACATCTGGATACGACGGTTTTTAAGCCCGGTAAAAGCTCGTGGCTTATTCCAAAGAAAACGAAATCTTCTCACAGCCTCGTAGTAGATATGGGCCTCCCTTCTATAGCCTGTAATCTCATCACGTTCGCTCCATCCTTAAAGCGATCCTGCAAGGGACTCAGAGGCGTATCGGTCGATAAACCTCTAAACCTTGTTGCGAAGCAGAACGCCCCCTATTATACCTCGACAGACGCCAAGCTTCCACAAAGTGCCTTCGAACCGAACATACATCTGGCAACTGACGTAACCCACTCACAGCCCATCTCACCCAAAGCTTTCCCTCTAAACGAGACAGTGGATTGCCTCAAGCCGGTTGCATGCAGCTCCGCGAACAAAAGTGTATGTTTATTGATCGATCTGTGAACATCCATCCGATTCATACATACATAAACATTTGAAATTCCACTCCCTTTGTGTATATACACAACGATCCTACAATTTGACTTTGTTTGTTTATCTGCTTCATTCGCACTCTACTTGTTTCAGTCACGACCTGAGCGCTCACATTTGGCTCGTTCGTGTGCAGCGTGACGGTGGGCGTGCTGCTCTTATCCAGACTCATTTTCTTCCGTTCAGATTTGTTGAATTACGCTCACGGTAACACTTGTCTCTTGTTTCCAAGTTGTTTCGAGATCACTTTGAGGTTTGCACATAGTTATTTGCTTATTTGATCGTTTATTAACGCAGTACCGTAGAAACTTGCCGGATCGTTCGTTTTGTTGACGTTCTGGGATCCAATTTCGGCTACGCGTTACTAGTTGATCTATTCGGGAGGCGCATGCTATGTTAGTTTTGTGCCCCTCGGTGGTGATGATGACCGACAACATCTGTATATTGCTCGTGCAGACTTGAATATCCAACATAACTTGCTAAAAGGATTATCTCACCATATGGCAGCTATTGACTCCGATCCCGCCTATGAACCTGAGACTTCACGAGCCAGTGCCAAAACATGGTAGTGACTAAAGCGCAATGATTTCGAAACGGAGCCCACAGTAGATTTTTGTTCATTGCTATGTTAAGGGTTTCCTTCCATTTATTTCTTATACTTCATAATACTAGTAATTTGCGCTCTAGAGGGTCCAACGCCTTCTGGACTCGTATTTTTCTTATTCCCGTGTACCCCTCGGACGCAGCACCCGGGAGAACAATAAGTTTTGTGAAGCATCTATAAGTTGCTCTTTCCATGTGCCTGCTATGCGCCATGAGGCAGCGTTCCTATCGGTAAGTGTTAATGTATTCTTGAATGATGTAGTAAACCATTACGACGAGACTGCACTTTGACGTGATGTGATGGCTTGCGTGTCTCAATGATCCTGCGAGCTATAAAGAATGGCTCCTCGCAACTCCAGATCAAATCCAATGCTTAAACGTTCAACGGGTCGAGACCAGATGGAACTCAGTCTCAAAAGACTAGCTGCTTGGACACCTCCTGGTTCCCTTCATCCATCCACACCCGCCCCTGGAGAGGTTACTCCAGTAAATGAACACGGTGAGGGGCAGTTTACTGGTCACAATGCCCCGCTAGATGGACATAAGAGCGGGGTATTTGGGGCTTCCTCTCGACGGTGGGAGAAGTCTTCGTTCTTCATTGGACAGCTGCAGTCCGCCCAAACTGGGCAGCCTCCAGCGAATAAGGTGTTGTCCCGTCCACGTTCCGCTTGTCTCATTGGGTACATGAAGTTAAGGGCCGATCTCGAACTCCGGACAGACAATCAACGCACCAGCAAACCACAAAACTAATCGAAATTCAAAGGCCTCGCATGATAGGTCTCCAGAAGCTTCCCCACTGGTGCTTCATTCACGCACCTCGTTGGATTAACGCCCCACAGCCATGTGGGTCAGACTTTTGATTCAAAGGCTCAGGTTAGGGTTCTAAAAGAAAAGCCCCTTCGTCCGTGGGCTACTGCAAATTATGTCGTGCCCTGAAGGCACCCAATTGGAAAACCCTCCTTCCCATCTGTCTAGTTCTTCCTCTCAATCTGGAATAATCACCAACACCTGCTGTTTACAAGATCCATCGGTTATCACTTGGCGTATAACTAACAAGTCCAAAAAATCAGAAGTTACAGGGTTTTTGAAGCCGGAATTTCCTTTTCATTTAGCCGCGTTTATTATCCGCACACTATCAGATTGGTCAACAAGCTGCCTTAGCTAGAACCCGTGAAACTTTCATTTTAGATGTATGTTGTATCTCTGAACCACGTATGCATGACCCCACCTCAAACATCTTCCTGGATTCTCTTGATCCAGCCTCAACCTTACGCGTCACCGTTCGGGTGTCAGGCGATACTCGCGGTGTTACTGGTGTCGGGATTGCGCTAAGTACCAAGGCTGAACGCTCGCTTCTAGACTGGATTCCAGTCAGTAGCCGACTGTGCGCCGTACAACTCAACGGTTCAGTTCAAGTCAACAGCTACAGAACAAATCGTCGATTTCTATTCGTCGTGTCGGTTTATGCACCAACCGATTGCAGTACACCGGAAATGAAGGATGAATTCTACAAGGACCTTTCTCAATTATTTCAAAGTGTTCGATCAACGGACATTGTGGTAATTGCCGGAAACTTCATTGCTCAGCTGGGATCCTTGGACGAATCAGAGAGGCTTCCTCGTGGATCACATGCACTCCCAGCTAACAGGACGGACGCCCTTTTCAAGCCTGTTCCGATCACGGTTTGTCCTTGTCAAGCACGAATTTCCCGCACAAGAAACGACACAGCTTTACACAGAAACTGCCAACCTATTCACAGCGCTAGACGCAAATCAACCACATCTCTTAGAGTTACTGCTGGAGGGAATCGATCAGAGACCGCCACTATTACTAGTCAACACCTTTAAATACGGTACACGCTTTGATACGAACAAAATTCTCCTTATGTCTGGCAACCAACCGTAAAAAAACCATCAAAAATGGATACCTATGATACAATGTCAGCAATTGTTACAAATAAGTCATTGAAGCGGAGCTCTCCGATCGCCTGTCAGTTCAACTGCCAGCCGAAGGACTCAGTGAACACTAGAAGCAAATCAAGGAAGCTATGCAGATATCGATAAAAACAACGTCGGACCCTGCCACAAGCTCAAAACACAAACGATGGATATCGTCGACCTCGTTTGTTCTGCTGAACGCCCAAAGAACCTTTCCTCCGGATGCCATAAATGACACACCGCGCAAATCCTTCAAACGCAGCTCATCAAGAGTCTGAGGAATGACCGCGAGAAGTGGTGGGTAGAAAAGTGCAGAGAGACGGAGAAGGCGGCTATTGGTAATGGTCGCAATCTCTTCCGTCTAATTAGGAATACGAGTCCTAGGAAAATAAGCGTAAGTGAGGTAATCAAGGAATCCAATGGCACACTGATTCACGATTAACAACGCCGTCTCGATCGATGGGTTGAACATTTCAAGGCTCAGTTCAACTGGCCCCCATTGACATGTGAACTGTTACTCTCTACTGCGACTGCGCCAACTCTGCTAATCGATAGCAGTCCTCCATCTGAAATGGAGGTTTCCCGGGAAGTTAGCTATATCAAAAGGCATAAGGCCTCAGGCCCAGACGGGCTGTCCCCATCCGTTTTTAAGAATGGAAGCTTAACATTGGTTTCGGAGTTAACAAAACTCCTGGGCTCAGGGTCGGAGAAGGAACAGGTTCCAGCTAAATGGTGTGAATCGGTCATCATACCGATTTACAAGAAAGGTAAAAGATCCTCTTGTGAAAATCACAGAAGAATTAGCTTAATCAACATTGCTTCTAAACTTCTCGCTCGTACCATACTCCGTCGATTGCCTGCCACACGTGAACGGTGTACACGTAAGAACCAGACTGGTTTTACACATAGTCGAGGTTGTATCGACCACGTCTTCACTCTGCGCCAAACTCTGGAGCTCCGACATTCTTTTTGTAGACCCACTATCTCTATTTTCCAGGATCTTAAAGCGGCCTTCCACTCAGATGACCGCTCTAAACTCTGGCATTGCCTTTCCCTTAAAGGTGTCCCCGAGAAGTTAACTTCAATATTACAATTCCTCTATAATAATAGCCGAAGCCGAGTCCGACCTCACGGCACGTTTTTACCCGAGTTCACCACGGAAAGTGGTGTTCGACAGGGTTGTCCTCTTTCTCCATTTCTATGTAACTTTGTTATCGATCTGATTATGGAATTAGCCCTATCCTCGTGCGAGGATAGTGACATCGATTTACTCCCAGGTGGCAGACTGTCTGATCTGGGATATGCAGACGACAGTGTGCTACTAAGTGAAGATGCAGGTAAGTTACAAGCTTTTCTGAATAGTTTTAGTGCTAGTGTATCCACGTTTGGTATGCGTTTTGCACCTTCAAAGTGTAAAATGCTACTACAAGACTGGGTTGATCCAGCACCCAGTCTCACTCCTACTGGAGAAGTATTAGAGCAGGTGGATAAGTTTTATTTGGACAGCTACATCTCACCCTGTGGATGCATCACGGATGAAGTGTCAGCTCGCATACAGAAGGCTCAGTTGGAATTTGCCTACTTGAGACATCTATGGCGCCGTCGCGACATCCGGCTGTCTGTGAAGGATCGAGTATATGCCGCGACAGTTCGGCCAGTCCTGCTATACGGTGCAGAAACTTGGCCATTCAGAAAACAGGACAAAGATAGACTTTCGGTGTTTGAACACCGCTGTCTACGTAGCATTTCACGAATCTGGTGGGGCAGCCGGACGAGGAATGCTCAGGCCAGGCGGAAAGTTCTAGGCAACCGCGTTTGCTCACTGGAGCAAGTGATCGACATCCACAGATTACTTTGTTTGGGGAATGTGTTACGCATGTCTCCAAATAGGCTGCCACGGCGAGCGATGTTTGTCGAGGCAGGTAGTGGGTGGAAGAAAGTCAAGGGTGGTCATGCTAAGAACTGGCATGAGGATATAAAAATCCTAACCAGGAGTTTAGGTCACACAAGTCCCCTTA